CTTAATTTAATAACGCAAGCCAGACGCCACATGTGAGTCAAGGTGCGCAATGAAATAACCATGCGATCAATGTTACAGCCACTCACATATCCCGACCGACACGAAATGCAGGGAGAGGAGTGCGAAATTCAATATTTTTTGGCTGCTACAGCGCACTAAAATAGACCTTTTCATAAATTAAGTCCACCAGTGATATCTTCGAGATTTAATCTACTGAATAATCACTAAAAGCCGGCAAAAAAATTTTCGTCCACTGAGAGATGCCCGAGTGTGAAACATGATTTCATATTTACTGCTACAGTGCACTTAGAAGTTCTTTTCAAACACCAACGCTATTAAAATCTCAAGATTTGAGCTATCAAGTGACTAATAAAACTTTAAAAAAACAGAAAATCTGTTTCCTCAAGAGGTTGAAACAGAGCGCATATAACAAACGATCGACATCTCTTACCTTGAAATGATCATCTTGGAGAACACTTGATTCCGTTGTAATCCGATCTAGTGTTCTTGTACATCAATTGGCGTGTCCTCACACTCCACTACCTCTTCATCTGGTACGCTTTTGAAACATATTCCACTGGAAACTCAGATTCAAACCATAAGGGAGAAAATATTCGTCTAAAGCAAACAACTTCGTAAAGTTCTTCTCAAAAACATGTTCGAAGTATGCGAGGAATGAAAAGATCGCAAACATGTAAGGAAGAATGCGGCGTTTCAAATCACTAACTGATTTGGTGATGCTTAAGAAGTGACGCGAAGCAGACTTAAACCAAGTATGTAAACAACAATATGTCTAAAGATCAGGCCATTCTGGCAAGATAGCATAAGGATATCATTTCGGAACTCTCAAAAATACTAACATCGATCCCACAATGATTTATCCCTCATCATGACTGGAAATCCTGACGTTTGTTCCTCAACAAAAATCTTGCCCCGAAAAACAACACACGATTTTAATGAAAAGCTGTTTAGACATAAAGCATTAGTCTGAACATTCGACTATTGGAAGAGTGAAAAGAAAAGGAGAAACAAAGCAAAGCGGACTTGATAGTTCGTAATTGCTATTAATTATTGCTAGCTGTAAGGTGAAAGATTGATGTTAATTCAGTAAGACTTCCAATTAACCAAATTTACTGCGAGCAAGGATCTTCTAGTCGGCTTAGGTCACCTTACTAAATCGTGGTCGTTTACGCTGAAATGGCATATGCTTGCAATACTTCTCTTCATAGTCACTTTTTCTTCATTGAACGTGACCACTAAAAATACCACTGAACGATGTCGTGGTTCCATTGTGAGCTTTGGTACGCACTACATTTAGGCGATATTTACTTCATTCAGAGTAGAATCCAGGTATAAATAGTCTCCCGTATTTCTCCTTTTTGTGATCACTTTCCCTGTGAGTACACGACGACATAAGGAAACGTACGCCGACCCCATGTATTGAACCTGGTATCCTTTGTGCAAGCTCTGTTCTAAGGAATTTAGAAAAAATGAAGGCAATTTTGGAGCGGCGCCTCAATGTCTGATGTTTGACATCCGTATGGATGATATCAATCGAAGCTTTCACAGCTACCACCATACTTATCAGCACTATGTTAAATTCCAACACCACGGTTCTCCCTGTAGCTTATCATTATCGTTTTTTATCGATGAACTAATACAAAATTCCTCATCACTTTTCACTAATATGCCTAGCTGGTGGCGACCCTTCATCAGATTCATCAAACGAGTTAAGGGACCACATATGTTCTTTCTTTGATGTTGGTTTTCGCAGCCATCCCCTGACACGGATCTTCATCAGATTCACGACGACTCAACTCGGATGGCTACAGAAGTTTCGCTTTCTTCGATGTTAGCCTTCGTGGTTATCGTATTGAAACGAAATCAATAGAGCTGCTCACCAAGTCACGTCCTCGACGTTATTCTTTTTGCTTTTTTCTCCTGAACACCAGCTCCACTGAAGTGATCTAGCATGCTTCAAATTCTGAAGACTTTTGAGATATACAATAATGCTGAGTGGTGTACAAAACTTCAAACGTGAGGAGGGAATCGAACCCGCACTTCACCGTGAAGCACGCGCCTCCAGAAAAAGTGAAATACGAGGTAAAATCACGTCGCACTTTCAAAGTTTTGCACATCACTCAACATTATTATATATACATTCGTAACAGCATACACAGCCAAAATCCTTGAATAAAAAGAGTTCCACGGAGTCTACTTTTGAAATATTTCGAAAACCGACTTTCCTTTAACTTCGGTATTACCAATCAATTGCATTATCTTCGTTAATCGAGCTGATAGCACATGGTTGATAGCTCCCCTTATAAAATTTGATAACTAAAAAAAAGCCTTTGAACCAAAAGTGAAGTACTAACGTGCATTTGACCCTATGACTAAGTGATAATTATAGGATAATATATTTCGCTAGCCTTTTGAAATATATAGTGTTCATTTGTCTCTAATGAACTTTGATTTTTCAGTCATAATGACGGATCATAAAGATACGGAACAAAATGAGATGCCTGGAACACTCAAATCAAGTAATAGACAGAAGAGTCGCAGTCAACCAACTGGTCTTGAACGTGTGAAAAGCTTAACCAGGAAGCTGTCGGCGAAATCAAGGTTTGCATGTTGATCTACAATCAATAAAAAGATAGGCTAATTATTGATACAAACTGAATGGAATTAAGAGATTCACTAAGAGTGAATTAGCTCACATCTCACTTTTTGCTGGTGATGAATTGGATTGACAAAAATTTTCCGGGCTTTCCCGCCATTGCTGATTATATTTAATGCATTTAGGTTTTTGCTTTTACTGTCGTTTATGGCAACGTTTTTGCGATTATTTTGATATGAAACACTAATACAATTGTGTCATGATGAAACTGACTCGATAACAAAAACAATTGCGATGCCACGCAAGTATCCTTTGGGCTTAAGGCTGTTGAGACATTGTTGTGGGAGACTCGCCCTTGATCGTGCGTCAGTTCTCCATTTCCGGCCTTTAGTTTATTGAAATGATCAAAAAAAAGCGGTTCTCTCAACTGTTCCGTCACGCCAGGCCTCATTAATCCGCAGAAGAGTCTCAGCAGCACCAGAATCCAAACGATACTTTTGTAGCATAAACAATCGTTTCTGCTCTCAAGACAATTCCATCTGGAAACAACATTAGTGTAATATATCAAAATAAGCGTAAGAAGCGAAAACAAAAGCTTAAATGCATGAAAAGTAATCCATAAGGACGAAAAAGTCCAGAAATTGCTTCTAACCAAAAAAAAGTTGTTCTCGTGATTTCTGATAACAGACACGTTTGAATAGCGCGAAAACGTAAAAGAGAAGAGTAGAAAATAGAATACAGTTGTTGGTAGATCTCTTCGCAAATAAAACCTGCTATCTCTTGTCGCTTTCAGATTTTGACATCAATGAAAAACAATCGAAAAAGATCTGATGTAGCTACAATCACCACTCATTGAGCTTTTTAGAACCATATTTCTTTAATTTAATTGTTATCTAGTAGTGATATGCTGTGGAACAATCCTTCTAAGAAGACTAAGAAGACTGAGTAGTGTGCAAAAAATCGACTCAGTGTGGAGTTGAACCAGCGTTACTAACAATCCTTCTAAAAAGATTAGGTGGTGCGCTAAAATTCGACCGCAACCGAGAGTTGAACCAGCATCACTACCAATCCTAAGAAGATTACGTGGTGTGCAAAAATTCGACCTCAGGAGGAAGTTTAACCACCGTTACCACCAATTCTTCTAAGAAGACTGAATGGTGTGCAAAAATTCGACCTTGGACGGGAATTACACCAGGGTTACTACCAATTCTTCTAAGAAGGTGAGTGGTGTGCAAAATTTTAACCTCAGGCCGGAGTTGAACCAGTGATACTACCAATCTTTCTAAGAAGATTAGGTGGTGTGCAAAAATTCGACCTCAGGCTGGAGTTGAACCAGGGTTACCACCAAATCTTCTGGAAAGAGTGAGCGGTGTGCAAAAATTGGACCGCAGGAAAAAATTTAACCACCGTTACCGCCAATTATTCAAAGAAGACTGAGTGGTGTGCAAAAATTCGACCTCGGGCGGGAATTGAACCAGGGCTACTACCAATCGTTCTAAGAAGAATAGGTGGCGTGCAAAAATTCGACCTCAGACGGGAGTTGAACCAGCGTTACTATCACTTCTTCTAAAAGATTGGGCGTGCAAAATTCGACGTCAGACGGGAGTTGAATCAGCCTTACTACCAAATCTTCTATGAAGATTGGCTTTGCAAAAATTCGACCGCAGACGGGTGTTGAACCAGCGTACTACTTTCCCGGGAGCGTGCTACCGCTACACCACCAAGGCCGCCGTTCTGTCACAATTTTAGCGGTGTTTTTTGTTCCTGGCAAAAGTCTATGATGACAGCAGATAGTGAGACTTATTTACCACAGGGCTCTCCCGATTGATATTCGATTTGACTCAAAATTTATCGGGAATTCCTGAGAGATTCCCTCGTCGTTTATTCGTCACTATAATCGTGTGGAATTCTCCAATATTAGATCCACATTCTTCCTACTATTAGAATCGATCTTTTCGGCAGGAATTCTTCCTATTTAACCGATTTTTAGAGGTGGTATGACGATACATATCAATTCAATGACGATAAGAGATTTGCAAAACGTTGACCACAGGCGGGACTCGAACTCGTATCTCGTTCTTTCCGGAGGAGCATACCTTGAACCAATCGCACCACCGACAACGGTTTTTGCGGGTTCCGGTTCGAATTCCGACTGAAGTCGAAGTTTTGCATATCACCCAATGTCGATGGTTATATATGCAACATCACAGCACCGCTAAAAAGGGATAAAATAAGAACAAATTTTGTCGATAAGATATACATCCAATATCCAGTAGCATAAGTGGGTTCAGTCTCGATATCGACTGACAGTCCAGGCCTTTGACGGTTGGTTGCTCTTGACAGATAGAGGAGTCATAGATTAGAAAGACTAGTGGCAAAACCGGCGTCGGTAGTGCAACTGTTAAAAGCACGTGCCTCCGGAGAGGGTGAATCGCGGGTTCGAGTCCCGCCTGACGCCAAATTTTTGCACATCACTCAACACCTTTAAATATAATCGAATTGCTATTATTAAAGCTAAGAAGATAAAGTACTCGCACTTGATCAGTCCCTGAGGGATGTAACGGATGCTGACCTCATCAAGCTTGTTTGACGTGACTATCATATCTGGCATTTACAATGACTCACGTTGGCTGACCGATGCACCATGTCAGTGCTGCTATCCTACCAAATAAGTCTGGTACCAGTCCACCCATCGCAGAAGGATGAAAGCTTGATGAGCCTCGTACGCGGATCGAACCATCGAGGATCGGCTAATCTATCATGTTTATCACAGAACACCCTTACCCAGTGCGCCAGGCGCACTATCAGTTCTCACGAAAGATTTACATTTTCGAGATGGAGGCATTAAATTAGTATTCAAGCATTTAATCCTAAACGAAACATGAAGATTTATACAAGGGAGAGGAAGGAGGGCGGCAACACCCACAACATATCGATTCTAGAGTTTATGATCTCGGAAAAAACAACATGGCAATAATTAAAATAATAGTTCAAAGATGACGTCAATTATCTGAACATTGAAAATTGAAAACGTGATAAACAAAATCTAACATGATTATTTGGAAATTTGAAAGTTAGCTTGCGCGCGTTAGCCTGATTCAGGACTTTCTGCAATATTGCGTAGTGTGTCTAGTGTTCTTGTTATCGTCTTATGCTAGTAAACATCACGCTCTCTTAGCATGTAGGGGCCACGTTCACCCTAGTTGTACTACCAGAGCATAGGTCTATGTCTAAAATTCTGCCTAAACCTAAGCCTAAGCCTAAACGTAGGCCTTAGCCTGTGCCTGTCCGAGTAGTCTCTCTTATGTTTCGTCGTGTTTGTGATAATTCGCTAAGGCGATGAAGTCTGCTGGCTCCCAGCTCGTATTAGCCCTTTCCGAGCCTCTATCGGTCGATTTTCGTGACTACCCGCGCGATTTTCGCTTCTCAAAAAGAGTTTCTCTTTCTCGCTTTCGGAAAAACTCTAGGTTTATCGTATTATTTTGAAACTACGTGATTTCCTGTACGTACTCATATACTTTCTCCTCGTATAGAGCTTTTATTTGCGAAGAAAACTCCGAATGTGAAACGTAATTTTATTTCTTTCCTATAGCGCCTAAAAAGGATTTCCCTATAACTAAGTTCAATTGCGAAATCACCGAGATTAGTATTATCTATGAGTAAAGGATAGTCTAATCAGAAGTGAAACCGCCGAGATTTAAGCTTAAGTTTCTGGTAAAAAATTTCTGTCCAGACAAGAAGATCTCTAAGAAGACCGTCGCTTGCCTTTCGGAAAGCGGCTATGAAGCGGCGAGCGTAGTTTTCTGTCTTCTTCATGATGTCTGAGATCGTTGAAGGCATAGAACTGATTGGCAACTAGTCAATTATGAATAAATTCATCGTTTAAACGAAATGATGTGTTCGTTGAGAACTGAAGCTTATTTGTCGATGTTGGTGGTTTTTAGAAAAGAAAAGGCGAAAGATAGAGGAGGAGGTGATAATCATCAAGTCGTCAACAGTAGCGGCATCATGTCCACCCCAACCTCCGATATATCGAAAGTTCCGGAAACGAAACCACAAATAAAAATTGGACACTATATTCTGCGAGATACCCTTGGTGTTGGCACATTCGGAAAAGTTAAAGGTAAATTTCTAGAGGATTTGTCATAGTCAAAGAATCTTTGTTGGATTGACGGAAAATTCTTTAAATTTTTTCGTTTTCCCTTTTTGATATTATTTTTCAAGCGTTCAAGTTCTTGTTTCTACTATCGTTTAGAGCAGCTTATTGCGGTTATTTTCATGTACAACATTTGTACATTTGTTCTATTCTTCACCCCATTAACGCCATTGTTAGACGCAACACGCTGGATTCTGGAGACGCAGACGCCGTGGCTCCACGGTCCTATAAGGGTTCGGATGGAATTGTCCCGAGAGCAAAAGTGATTGTAGATGCTGCAGGTGTATCGTTGCGTGCCAAAGCAGTCACCTTAGCCCAAGCGATACTCGTGTAGCATCAGCAGTGGTTTTTGCTTTCGGGAAATTCCGTTTTGAAACAAGTGTACAAGTGCTTTCTACCGGGGGCGTCTTGACCGAGAGCCTGTGGTGTTCGTCGCTGCGCGTATGGAGCTGAGCTCCAACACCCACCACTCTTAGGTAATTAACAAGAGCGAAAGCACCCTATGGAGCGCCACAGCCAGGCTATTCTCGGGATTGCAAGGAGACATATTCGACCAGTGTTCTGCGTCATTCAAGAAAGAAAACGAATCGAATGCTGGAAGTACTGCGAACGGCACAAAAATTGTGATTTTCGGTAGTGTAAATGAGTAAATAATTAATAAATCATATACTAAAATAACCGCACGAAGCTGCTCTTAGCGATAATAAAAGCAAAGATTTGAGTGCTTGCAAGTAATGAAGATGGAGAAGTTGGGATTTCTTGCCAATGCTTCTATCTGTCCAGCCGATTAATACCCCCCTTTTCTAACAGCAGTTTATTTCTCTCTCTCTCTCTCTCTCTCTCTCTCTCTCTCAGTGACTCTTCATGTTGTTTAGTTCAATTTTTCCATAATCATTCACTTATTTCCTAGCAGATTTTCCGCATTTCATTTCAGTTGGCATCCATGAGGCTACTGGATACAAGGTGGCGGTAAAGATACTTAATCGTCAGAAGATTAAAACCTTGGATGTGGTGGGGAAAATTCGACGAGAAATCCAAAATCTCTCGCTATTTCGTCATCCACACATCATTCGTCTGTAGGTTATTTTCTTCATTTTCTTTTCTATATACCACCACTTTGATAGATGAGGTGGTCTATTGGGTTGGCAGGAGATTTTCCGCACTTTTTCGTTTTTTTTCGTTGATTATTTTTGGTGCATCTTATGTTTTTACTTTCGCTCAGAGCAGCTTGTGGTTATTTTCGTATCTTACTTTTCCGTTCTGTAGCACAGAGTTTGAAGCTTGTCCCCTACGCTGAGTAAAAAGTTTTCATAAAAAGTGATAGTAATCATTTTAAAGCTTAAATCCGAAGCTAGTGCTGTACTTGACCGGTTTTTGAAAAGAATCTTTTATAACGCTAAAAAATTAGAAATAAAATTCTTCCACATGCGCATATTTGTTGCATTACAGAGCTCTTTAGATGGACTATTAGTAATCATTCGATAGCATACAATTTACCGACTTTAAGGCTGTACTTAAATTTTGAAAACACCGTTTCCTTGCATTTCATCAGTGAAAATAAGGTTGATTTTGATGCACGAGCAAATGTTCTTTGACCAATTCACAGGTGGGTGCCTAAGTGAGGTGTATTTGATTAGGAAATGTTTCTCTGCTTTGGAAGGAACTCCGGATTGAACTTCTGACTTTGATACTAGAAGATTTTCTCTGCACGCTCATAGACGTTTTGTGCTCCCGGCAAAGTAATAGTTGAATTGCGCGGCCGATGTGGAACATAATCCAGTTTTGAGTTTTCAAGCGGTATGAAAGAGTTTTTTTTCAAAAAAAAAAACCGATCATTTACATCACTAGCTCGAGATTTAAGCTTTCGAACGATTACTAACACTCTGTGTGAAAACTTCTTACACAGCATAAGAGACAGGCCTGATAATCTGCGCTATCAAACGGAAAGGTACCTCTAATATATAACACTTACACGATTGTCTCAAGATGGAATTGTCCTGAGAGCAAAAACGATTGCTCATGTTACACGAGTATTGTGTGGAATCAGGTGCTGCTTTGGCGCGCAACGATTGACGCATCTACAATCGTTTTTGATCTTGGAACAATTCCATCCTAAGACACATGTATGAGTGTTATGTATCAAAATGACTGCAAGAAGTGCTCTAAACGGTTAACAACAATGATTCAAATGCATGGAAAATACTCAATAAAAATGGAAAAAGGTCCGGAAAATGTCTCACCAACCCAATACGAACATCCTTCATTCTCCTTTTATGCACGTCGTCCTGTTTCATTTAATGCTTACATTCGTTGATGGGTTTTCAGATACCAGGTGATTAGTACTCCAACTGATATATTTATGATTATGGAATACGTATCAGGTGGTGAGCTATTCGACTATATTGTCAAACATGGTCGTGTGAGTTTCTATTTCCTTCGATTGATTAACCTTTTGCGGACGGCTGTCAATCGATTTTGCAAACTTTTTCATTTTGGGAAGAAAAATTTAGGTTTTCCTTATATTTGTCTGACAGTGCATGATTTTTGAGCACGTCAGATATTCTTTGTGCACATATAATAATAGGTTGTGTAGGAAGTTCGTGCCGTTTCAATTTTTTAAGGGGATTTTCGCATCACTTTGTTCTGAAGAAAGACAAGCCTATAAATCACAGCAATCCCCATCGACCTCGATAACTTCCTGCTGAGTCCACCCACTTTTGATCACGAGTCATGATGCGTTCAAGAAGCCAGGCTTGCGAGCGTATCGATCGAGATAACGAAGATCGATCAGCACACTTCACTTTCTTGGCTTCGATCAATTCATGTGACACCGACTTTGACTTATTCCAGACCTTAGCCAGTTCATGCAGAATACTGACGATGGTCCTGAAACAACAATGGAATTTTACGGCTAGTATTTAGCATGTTATGGAGGAATTCTCACCGATCATCTCAAGGTCCAGACTGTTTTCTCCAGCTTTGAACTTCGCGAAACCTCCTTCTCGTCTTTTCGGCAACTTTATCATCGTCCCAAGTTCTATTGATTTTGGGCTCTGCTCCACTTACATCTTCCCCTGCGCGCCATTCGTTTATTAGTATCAAACGAATTTGTTACTAAGCCGCTCCACTTCAAGCAAGTTGCATATCAAAACGATCATAAGAAAATTCTCAGTATAACGATACCAATGTCATACAGTTTCATCGCAAAAATGGTATTAAAAAACCAAAACGGCACGAACTTTTCACAAAACCTATCAGCTTCTATTTACGAAGAAAATGTCAAGTGTGGAGCGTAATTTTCT